ACATCTAGTGATCTAGTTTAGGCCACATGACATAACATTCTAGAACTACTCTCGGTGAGCGACGGACGTATGTTGTATTTCTATTTACTTTCATGCAATATATTCTGTGAACAATTGAAGCCTGTGTTACTTGGATTCAAGACCTTGAATATTACAACCGTCACCCGTCGTAACACAGAAAAACGCAGGAAGTCGCGCGATGAAGCAATAATAATCTGTCAGCACCAAGTCAAGCGTCTCGGCGAATTCAACATCGGGAGAAATTTCCGGAGTTACACGTGGTTGGCTTAACGATGACGACGCTCCTGCATCACAGCTCGCAAATTCGCCCTGTTCATTGATGACTGCTCGAGGATTTGATAAAAATGAACAAATAATTGTGAAAATGAAGACACAGTCTGTCCTACAAATGACCAGGATGATATGACAACTTCCTTGTCGAAAGAAAGCGAGGCATCAAAAATGCGATGCTTTAGAAAGAATACTGCAAGAACTAAATTGAATCACATTTTAACAGTTTACTGTATTTAATAATAATCGAAACCTTATTCTCGGTCAGCCTACGATCGCAAATAAAAATATAGCCAGCCACGTGCGGTTCTCAACTACTCTTTCTGCGGCTCTCATTATTCTTTAAAAAATATTCATTTATAGTAAAAAAAATTTCATTGAAGATTACTGAATGAATTGGAATTGAAATACCAAATGAAGTGCATATTTGAATTGATGTCAGTCAGTCAGTCAGTCAGTCAGTCGTTTATTTTTCACCAAAATGAAACATACACGTAATGCGAACAAAAATTAGAGAAAACATAAATAAAGGCATTTCATGGTGAAGGGTGACGCGAAAAAACCAATGTTGGTTATCTAGCAGCGACACCTGTGATAAATGTCTAACTTTGATACAAGTAGAATAGAATAAATCGAACACATTTAAGCAGTGAAGGGAAGAATGTCCGAGAAAATCCAAAACCGTAACAAAAAAAGAGACTCCAGGCACAACCAGGGTAATCATGGGCAACAGTATAGTAATATAACAGCAGTCCGACCACAGTCAGCGTCGTTGAACCCTACAAGAATATTGCTTTTGAGGCCGCGCGGTATGATAGTGGCCATGTACGCCGGGATACGTAATTAAGGCAGTTAGTTATTAAGAAATATATTTTGAAATATAAGCACATCTTGATGGTTACAATTATCTTAAATATGGGAGCAAGTTCAAGAAAGTATTGGCACTGTGGTATGGTTTCCAGAACTGGAGTCATTGGAAAATGAGGAAGGAATTGGTATTGGATGAAAATACAATCCAATTCATGTAGACAGAGAAATGGAAAATTAACAGGTAAATACATCATTCAATTCTATGTTGTGAACTAAGAAATGCAAAAAGTTGAAAATACCAGACAACACAATTAGAATATAAAATATAGAGACACTAGTTTTTAAGAACCAAATAACAATTAATATAAATAAATCAATATTAATTCAGAGAGCAGGATCACTAAATCAAAAAGACCCTTATCATAGAAACCAGAACAAAATATGACCCATGAATTATTCGATTATATCCTTAGGTAGGCATAATCTCACCCTTTAAGGTTTAGTGAGGTAATCCATTACTGGGTACATTTTTGCATATACAGCGAAGGGCAAAACTGTGGGGATTATGGAAGAGAATCACTAAAATCCGATCCTTCATAACAGCCTTGATCCAGGTTCTGGGGGACACTTTTATAGGCTGTGGATTTGAACAAGTATTGAACTAACAATGGCAAGGCAAATGCTGATAGCACATCAAATCAAGGTGCTGGCAGGAGACGGGTAAGAAGAAAGTAAAAATTTTTTATACTTTACTTTGAATGTGGCATAGGTGGAGTCACGCAAACCATTGGGAATACTATTCCAGGTTATAACGCCTTTATATTTCAAGGAGTTCCGAGTTTTGCCCGTTGAAAAGCGGGGTACAAATAAATTGGATCTTGTCGAAGAGCGCGTATTATGTTCATGTGCGTTACTAAGCTTAACAAAATAATCGTCAAAAGCTGCAGGCAACTGGTGGTTGTGAAATAGATGCATTACTTTAGAGATTTCTAGTTTGTGGATGTCGGATAGTTTTAACACCTTGGTCTTATGGTATAGGGTGTTTATGTTAGAACGAAAAGGCGCCCTAGAGAGAACTCTAACGGCCCTATTCTGGAGAACCTCTAATTTACGCAAATTTGTCTGGGTAGCAGAGCCCCATGCAGCTATGGCATATTGAATGTGTGACTGGAATATGGCAAAATATACGGTTCGCAGGTTAATATCATGGACGTAATGCCGAAGCTTGCCCAGAATTCCCACAGATCTTGACAGTTTATTATGGATTTCAGTGATATGAGTGTTCCATTTTAGATGACTGTCAATATGGAGTCCGAGATATTTATGAGAAGGGACAACTTCAAGCGAAATACCATTAATTTTAACAGTAAAGTTGGCAAGTCTAGTGCGAGTTTTGGGACAGAATATCATCACCTTCGATTTATCAACATTCACTGTGAACTTATTACAAATCATCCAATCATGAACTTTGTTTATTTTAGTGTTCACTTTGGTTTGGAGCGAAGTTAAGTCTTTTGCACTGTGAAGCAGGCACGCATCGTCGGCAAAGAGTTTGGTCAGAAAATTTGAACTGTTAGAGAAGTCATTAATTGCGATCAAGAATCCAAGTGGTCCTAGTACACTACCTTGAGGAATTCCGCAATAGATGGGGAACACTGGAGACCTGTGAGAATCCACCTCCACAAATTGTGAACGACCGGACAGGTAATTAAATAATAGATTGCCTGCAGCACCTCGGAAACCATAATGTCTAAGCTTATGGGATAGAATTCTATGATTGACGGTATCAAAAGCTTTCTTCAAATCGAGAAAGATACAACAGACAAATTCTCCTTTGTCCAGTTTATCGAAAATGAAAGAGGTTAAATCAAGAATAGCGTGACTGGTGGAAGTATTAGTTTGAAAGCCAAATTGACATTTGTTAATTAGGTTGAAATTTGTACAAAATTTAAGGATTCTCTTATATAATAATTTTTCTAAAATTATACCTATAGAGGGTAGAATGGAAATGGGCCTGTAATTTGATGGATCATTTTTTTTACCACTTTTAAATATGGGAACCACTCTAGCAATCTTTAAAGAAGAAGGGAAAATGCCTAATGTAAAGGCTGAATTAAAAAAGTGGATTAGTGTAGGTGATATTATATCGGCAACTGTTCCTAGAAAGTGGGATGGAACACCATCGGGCCTAACTGCTTTACTCTTTTTCAGATTTAAAATTATTTGGATAATCTCCGTGGAAGAAGTGGGTTCGAGAAAAAAGGAGTTTTGCATTGGAGCACCCAAGAAGTCGGCGAATGATTTTGAGATATGTGGGATTTTATCTGCAAGATTCTTTCCGATTGTCGAGAAGTATTTATTAAAAACACTGGCAATCGTAACTGGGTCGGTCACTGAAGTACCGTTTTCGAGTTCCAATTCTGAGATGGATGTATTATCTATGGACTTGATCTTAATAATGTCGTTAATGGTTTGCCATGTGCGTTTAATATCACCTCGATTGCTTTCGAGGACACTATGGTAGTACATCTGCTTAGATCTCCTCAGCAAATGTGTTAACATATTTTTATACTTTTTGAAGTAGCTACGTTGGACTGCATTGCCCTTTAGAAACTTTTTTTTAAGCATAATATTTTTGTGTTTAATGGACTTACGAATTCCCCTGGTGATCCAAGGTTTATAAGAAAGTTTGTTTTCTTTGCGTGATAAGGGTCGTAATGGGGCATGTTTGTTGATTAAGCATTTCAGATGGCCAAGAAAAGTTTCAAAACAGCTATTAAAATTTTCTTCACAAAGATAAACGGTTGTATAGTTGTTACACATTGACTCAACTTCGGCTCTGAATAATTCGCTACAGAATTTTGTCATATCGCGCTTCATACGAATCTTTGTTTTTGTGATTAAATCAATACCTGAAATTGTGCACATGACCGGAAAGTGGTCAGTAAGGTCACTAAGTAGAATAAATGATGACGAACAATAGTTCACGGTATTTGTGTATATATGGTCTATAAGGGTGTGGGAGGAGGAGGTCACTCTAGTGGGTTTCGTAATTACTGGGAATGTATGATATGACATGAGCATATCAAAATATTTGGCAGTGGCATTATCATGGGTGTCAAGGAGGTAAATATTGAAATCACCTAATATGAAAAAGTTTTTTTTTGCCATTGTCAGTTTCTCGAGTACGCGATCCATTGCACCAGTAAAAGCAAGTACGTTATTTTTTGGATGGTTATAAATAACACCAATGATGAGGCTTTGGAAGTTTAAGTTGAAATTAGAACACTTGATTTCTACCCACATATCCTCACAGGAAGAAATGGATAATTTAAAATCGCAGATAATCTGGTAATCCAAATTGTTTTTTAAGTAAAATCCCACACCGCCCGCCTGAGTTGGAGAGGGTACATGGATAAAGGCATAACCCGGGATGTCGACATTATAAAACGCTACCTCACTTTTGATCCTGGTCTCGGTCAAAGCAATTATATGGGGAGGAGAATAGAACTTTGAATACAAATCAATTAAATCATCAACATATTTAGGAAGTGATCTGATGTTATGATGCACTAGAATAAGGTCAGATGGTGGGATCCTTGATGATACCTCATTGATATCTGTTAATTCGAGATATTGAGTCAGTGTTGAGTCTATGAAAGGGTTGAAAAAGTCTGATTTCCAATTTATATTGGGGGAACTAGCTATATCATGCATAGAAAATATTGGATTGAGTAAAGGTGGAAGTCTTCAGGGAATATAAGTTATAAACTATGAAATGTATAATAGTTGACCGGTATTTTATAACTAGAATGGGATTCATTAAGTGGAAAATTGCTAAAAAAGCCAAAATGGGACAAAAGGGAATTATACAATAAATGAAAATGTAGATAGTCCACTTATCTGATTTTTTGCAAATCATCTTCATTAGATATTGATAAGGTGTTAGTTTCTTTATTTTTTTTCACAAGAACCCTTCCACTGGATGTCCACAGAAAAGCGTATCCACATTGTCTTTTTAGAATTTTGGCTTGGTAAAATAGATTTCTATTTTTGTCTGTCAAGTTTTCGACAATGAAGGCTTTTGATAAGTTAGACACGGATGTAGTATTGCGAGCAGTTCTAATGAGATGGCGATTCTTAAGTATCTTGTTTCGGATCTTTCTGTTGGTGAACTTTGCAATTAGAGGTTTATGGATGTTTGAGTTCTGTGATGGGAAACGATGAGTAACAGAAATATCAGATGGCTTGATATCAACATGTATCATTTTCCCCACCTCCATTACCAGTTTATCTGTGTCCTCATTAGGAGTAGGAGCTAAACCATGAAATTCGAGGTTGTCGAGTCTAGAGCGCCTTTCTTGCTCCTCGACTTTATCAGTTGTATAAAATAACTCCTCCTCAAGCTCGTAAACTAGATCTTCCAGTTCACGAATTCTTTTGCAGCATTTTGAAAGGTTATCCTCCATTGATTTTTGCTTCGCAGATATCTCATCATACATCTCTGATTGGAATGTTTGAGACTCTTTAATTGAGGAAATATCTTGCTTTATTTCCTTTAAAGACTGCGTTTGCTCATCCATGCACTCCTTGAGGCCGGGGCTCAAAGGTAGGTATTCTGATGTGAGATTAGCAGGAGAAAAGTTATCTGCGAGGCATCTAGCAATTAAGGCAGGAAGTTGCAATTCAATATTTCTCTGGATTATTTCCTGAAGATTTGGTTGTAAGTTTGATCTGATGTGCTGATGTGGCATAGGGGTAATTGGAGAGAGGCCAGGATCTGGTAGGCTTCTACTCAATCTTGGTTTAGGCTTTGGCTTAGTGGTGTCATTGGAAGCCATGTTTGCGTTGGAGTTCGGCATGTCGTAAGATGTTCAAAGAGACGAAGATTGCAGAGTTAGACTATTCAGCTATTCTAAGGTAGATTTAAACCTAGATCTTAATCAAATAGCGAATAATGACTTGTCTTCATAGCTGTTAGGTCGTTTTGAGTGCAACTTTTTATTATGACTTCGCACAAACATCGTTCTTGGAGTTTTGAATGTTTGTTTACAAATTCGAACTGTAAAATTTCACGTTAGTTGCGTAAATAATATGTATCTCATTGAGGAATTGAAACAGAAGAAGTAGTTGGTGTAACCCTGCATTGGCGACTACTTTTGTTTGCTTTGATTTTCTTTGTTGTTTTCGTGAAAGCCGGAGCCTTTATTCTGTTTTGGAAAAGATGATATTGCCCATAAGTTGGCAGAGTTCTGTTAGGGACGGAGAGATGGGGTGAGAAATTTGACTCTGACTCCTATTGTAAAGCATTTTAACTCCAATTCTTAGGAAATCTAATTTTGCGAACAAAAACTATGAAACTTCGTTGAATGATACTGTGTTAGAGAATTGCTTTATAAAAAAAAATTTAAAATCTAGCTTCTTTTAACATCGTCAATAACAGGACGTTAGCACCCTATAGTTCTGCAGTTAGGTTACGTTTTTATTTAAACCTGACTTGTCCCAACCTAAGGAAAACAGAATAAAAAGAAAATCTGTGGCAAGGCAGGATAGCAAAAAACTGCCTATCTAAAAGCTAAGTTAACTTGGTGCCAGGGATGTCAAATTCGAAATTAATATTCGAATATCGTTTTTAATGTTTGTCGAATGTTGCGCTCAAAATTTTTCGCCGCGTCCACGTTTTGATTGAAAATATTTTTCAGTTATCTTATATTTTATAGTAACTGAAGATAGAAGTGTGCGTCGCCTCAATAAATTTTAGCCGGTTCAAATCAGCGACTTGAGATATTTATTATAACACGTTCAGGACATTTTTGATTGAAAATAATAAATAAATAAATACAAACCAAGAGTAAAACTTTAGACATCTTCGATAATCTTCTGAATTATCAATTGGTGATCTAAATATTTTAGACAGACTTTTGCAATCAAGAAAGCAGAATCTACAAAAACCAATGAATTATCCCCACTTTTGTAGATTCACAAATCATGGGTAAAACAACTTGACACCGTTACAAAGACTGAAGTCAGAGTGGTTGATAGTTTAGATTGGAAACATATAAAATGTCTGACCTATGAAAAAATACAGGGTACATGAATATTTGGCAGATATGAGAAGCATAAAATAAATTAAATGTATTGTCACACTCCAACTCTAAACAACGCTCTGGAAAAGTAATCACTGATGTATAGATAGCAAATAATATTCTCACTCTGCATGCATTGACAAAGTTTTCAAGACAAATTATTAGCAGCTCAAGTAGTGCAAAAGTCAGTAGGATTACAAACCGGCGCGAGACTAAACGAACAAAAAGAAAAAAATTTAAATATTGATACTTTTCCAGAAATCATGATCAACAACCTGCTGAATTGTTAGTTGTTCATCGATGTGTTTCATTCTTGTGAGCAAATCATGGGCCAAGTGAGGGTTAGGAATCAGTAAACAACCGGGATCAATATCTTGCGTAAAATAGCCAACTAAGCTGTTTGCGATAAGGTTGTTAGACCATAATTCATACAAGAACTGACCCAATTGAAGAATACGTGTAACATCACTGGATATGAAATGGTGAAATATTGTATTACTGCTATAAAGACTAATTTTCACAGTTTGCATGTCCAGTGAAAACAAAATATCCGATTCCAATTTCCCATGAACAATAGCATGTTTATGCAAATGTTGTAGACCACTAACTATCTGTTTTGCATGTACGAGAGCTAGTCTGGGATCAAAAGGAATATTGCCGTCCCTTCTTTCTTCATAATATTCACTAAGAGTTTGGAACTGGCATCTTTCAGTAGCAATAAAAGGAAAATTTCGTTCTTTCAACCAACCCCAAGCAAAGACAGAGATTACATTTGGATGTGGATGTTGCTGAAGAACTTTCGCTTTGTGAAGTAAGGTTTCATTCCCAGCAGAACACACCCATATAGCTAAAGGCTCTGCAATTGAATTAGAGAGATCCTGTTGACCTTCAAAAATTATGATTTCTCTTTCTTTACGAATCTGTTTGTCTCTATACCACCAGATGTCATCAGGTAATTGTTGGCGATCTGAGAATTTAAAAAAAAAAAAAAAAAAATCAACTGAAATGAATGACAGTTAAATGATTAAATTAAACATCATTATGTATAAAAATGCAAAACGCTTTCAGTCACCATAACACTGTATAAAAAGTGAAAAAAAAATTAATAAAAAACATTCGTATTATGTGTAAGTAACATGTATGGAACCGAATCGATGGATTTGAAATCAGAATTGAACCATGTTGGAGAAGATCGGTTGTGTGTTTGGGCATTTTCAATCGAATAACTAATTATGCAAATAAGTGCAGCCCCAGAATAGCAGTAGCAATTCCCTGACTATCAATGACAGAATAAATTTTAACACCGACTTAGTTTGAAATATGAACGAACATTTGTGATTACAAGATCAATTTATTCACTGAGTTCAGCGATGTTTGAACAAGCAATAGTGAATTCTTGAGTTGAATCAGATGCAAATACCCATAAAAAGACACATATTCGTTATTGTGTTTCAATATTTCGAACAGTAAGAATGCAAGGATTGATGAAATCAATCTATCTCACCTTTGGAGGTCAAAGCTGCATTTCTGTTTTTTTTTTTTTCTTCAAGATATTTTGCAAAGTTGAAATTATTAACAATCTTTGATAATGATGTTGCAACTTGTGAAGAATGACTAAAATTATGATGGATTAGTTTTAGTAGGAAAAGGTATTTGAATATCACAATCAAGAATTAACTTGTATTCATCTATTACTAATCTCTGCATCATAATAATAATGCTAAACATGAGTACATATAAAGCAGTTCATTCTAAGATAAATGTGATCAGAATTTTTATTTTAATATTATGTTATTTTAAACTTGTTTTGCATTCGGTATACAAATACTTTAGTTTTAGTAGGAAGAGCTATTTTAGGGTTACAACCAGGATTCACGTCTGTTCACCCTATTATTAACCTCTTCATGACAATTGTCATGTCAAACAAGAATAAATATTGAACAATCTAATATAAGTGAGATTTAGATTTCGACATTGTGTTATTTTTGATTTTGCTTTAGATTTAGTATTGTCTCATTTATACGAATAACTTTACGGTGAGAATTAATCTCAATAATTTCAAAATATATTGTTCGAAGACATTAACTGTAAAACAACAACGACAAAACATGACTGACCCAATACCAGTTCACATCATGAAACAGACAAGAGTTATGCTCGCAACGGAGATAATAATATTATTTTGTTTCTAATATCTTTTCTCCAAACAATGCTCTGGCTGGACAATCATTCTATTTGGACTGTGACAAAACAGGACCAGGTATTATTGCAACATGAATATACAAACCTTTTGGGTTTCTTTTTTGTTAAGAAATCTTATTTGAAAGTTACATTCTCAAAATGTGGAAGCAAAAGTTCATCATAGCTGCCTGTTTGAGGACTTTGTGAGCTGCCAGGTGGAGATTCTTTCTGTAGATCTCGGAATAGTAAACCTGAACAGAGAGACATTTCTTTTAGATAGCGCGCCTTTGGCAATCACAATAGCTTCAGGTGAGATGCTGAAATCCTTTGAATGAAAATGTAGAAAACTTCTCTACTAACAGATTAAAAATATCTGCATATATTCTATAGTTCAATGGCTCGATACCCAGCATATCTAATCGGAAAACTATTATATGCCCGAGTATCTGCGCTAGAACGCTCATATGAGACACTGTACTTTGGCCGGTAAAATTTAATACTGAAAGTGTTAATAACGCTCTCAGCGTTTTATATCGTATTGTGTCGCAGTGATAGAAGAAGAAAGTTTCAGCCATGACGCAAAGTGCGAATTATTTAAATAGCATCAATTTGAAAATGACGTGTCATATCTTTGTGAGGATGGTAAAACAACGTATACTCGATTTAAAAATGACAAACGATTAGTCTAGCACAGGAGTGGGCACCTTTTTGTTTGCCCATCTAGACTGACGGGCCATGTAAGTACGATGTAAAGAGTTACATTATATGAACATTGTTTACAGTGTTACAAAAGCAACAGTGGAAAACAATAATCCTCGTGCCCAAACTGAATTTATCCGCAATCTCAACAAATTCATTGAGCTATTTTTAACTAAAGCATCAAAATTTGGTTTCAGTTTGATTGTGGCAGCATCAGGCAAGCCAAATTCAATTACCTAGCGGACCGGATTTGGCCCACGGCCCGCACTTTGCCATGTCTGGTTTAGCATGTATTTTTTGTAACAGTAAAGATTTAGCTATAATAATGGTTGTGATAATGTTTTTTTGCAAAAAAACAGAAGATAACGTGGGAATAAAAATTAATTAGTTACAATTAATTCTTAACCCTCATATGCCCACCTACTACAATTTCAAAGTTGTTTTTTTACAAATTTTTGCGCATTATATCGCATAAAAAATATATGATTAAAGAAGTTTTTGTAGTTGTATAGCCAAATAGAACTTTAGCATACGTTTGTAGGGAGTCATTAGTGAATCTTCAGAGCCTAAAAGCTGATAACAAAACGATTTGTGAAATTGACTAATGCGAAATGACCTGGGGGAGCAGACCGTTGAAGATTGAACCCATAAATTCGTTCCTACCTTTTACATTTGGCGGAGCCATATATTGATGAGAAAGAATCTCGTTTATCATTGGACGTTTACGAGGAACAAACTGAAGCATCCATTCCAGTAAATCTTTTGCGACTTCTGCATCTGGAACTAGAAGTCCATCCAGGTTCAGGTTTTTGTGGTTTTTCATGAAATGATTCCATAAGTCTCTTTCATCGCCAAAGGGATGTTGGCCCTCACTCCATACATAGTAAACAATAACA